ACTCTTGTAATCATTTAAAAACTCTTGTTTTTGTTTTTGGTTCGTTTGGAGTTTCGAGTTTAAGATTTGCAATCTTGTGTATTAATTAAGACGAGTATTTCGGTTTTTCCCATGTCTTAATTCATTCTTTCATTTGTGGTTATGCCATTCGGACTGAGTATTTCATACATACCTGGATCGATTTGTCATTGCCTTTATTGATTTTGTCCTAGTCTATATTTGAGACGCGATTCGAGACCCAGCTGTCGTGACGGCCGATACTGTTACTCGGCATGATTCGCTATCTGAGTAAAAGTTGTCGTGACGGCCAACACTGTTAGTCGGAAGAGTCAACGAGCTAACCATCTCATTGTTTGGCAATGACCGCTGAGTTAGGTTTATGCCTCACTGGGGATGCCAATAAACGATCTCTTTAGGAGCTTTTCCTCAGCTTCATTGTTAGATATTCGTTGGATTAATTGTATCGATTAAGAAAAAAGGTGGTGAACTTGGAACTCGATTTTACGCCTTATGATGATTTGAAGCCCTTGAACATTCTATGATTGTCTAACACCTAAATGCAATGAGAAGTTCTTTTGGTTAAACCCAAATTTTGGTTGTTTTGAAAGTTTTGTGAAAAACCCTTTTTCCTTTCTAGTTACCTTGGAAAATGTGAACCCTAAAATAGAAATTTCCTTGTCCGAAACTTGAAACGAATGCCGACCCTGGCTGGGTGTAGCCATGCGAAGTGGTGATCGGGCATGCATGCCTGTGCTGAGAGCCGTGAGGCCAACTGCAGGGCCGACCGTTGACTCGCACGAGTGTTGCAGCCGCCATCACCGAACACATGAACTCCCAGCTGGTCTCTGAGTGGGTACATACACTCGTCCCAGCGCCCCACATATGCAGCGCCCGCGTGTGTGCCATCTCTCGAGTGAAAGTGCATAAAACCCCGGACCGACTTGTTCTTTTTGGGCCGTTCAATCAGTGTTCCGGGGCAAGTAGTAAACTTTTACGGGTTGCGTTATGGGCAGAACCTAACCTATGAGGAGGCACTGGTGGCCGTTATAAGACGAAGGGCCCATCAGTTAGGGCTGCACAAACGGTTAAAACCGAACCGAACCGACCGAAAATTAACCGAATTTTCGGTTCGTCCAATATTAAAACCGAAAACCGAACCAAAAATTGCGGTTCGGTTCGGGTTTTAACCGAAAAATTATCGGTTTTTTTGGTTCGGTTATCGGTTATCCGATAAAATAAAGAAAAGACAAAAAAAAAATTACAATTAACAATAGATACTACTTAATAATTTTACCAAAAAAAACCAAAATGCATAAGGAAAAAAAAAAAAAGAGAGAAAACTTGTCCTGGAATTATTACCGACCAAAATGCATAACAATTTATCTGACAAATTGTGAATATGGGTCGATGGAAGATGAGTGTCAGTGATAATGTATTGGGCCTGCTTTAGTGATTTGTGGTGGGTGACTTGTTGCAGCTTTTGGGCTTGTATAATAAAACATTTATATTGGGCCTTTTATATTATATGTATATTATCGATTTTCAGTTCGGTTCGGTTAACCGACAGGTTATAGTCAAACCGAACCAAAAACCGAAATATTGGGAAACTAGTAACCGAAAACCGAACCAATTTTTCGGTTTTGGTTTCGGTCGAAACCGAAATTTCGGTTTCGGTCGGTTAACCGCAATATGTGCACCCCTACCATCAATCGAGAAACAGATTATGGTACCCGTTAAATTCAAAGAGGAGCCGTTTTGGCGAGGGTGTTGTGACTCGGGAGATGGGTTATGGGAGTAGTATCTGAACCTCGAAGTTTGTAATTCCTCCGGGTGTGTGTTCTTCTTGCGAAGT